TCGTGCGACTATGTGACTCCTGTGCCACATACAAACCTGCCATACCGATGGGAGTAAACCCTCGAGGTTTGATCCCTGGTGATGTTTGGCAGATGGACATCACACATATACAGGAGTTTGGGACTCTTAAATATGTTCATGTTTCCACAGACACCTGTTCTCACGTCATATTTGCAACAGCAGAAACAGGTGAAAAAGTGTCTAATGTGATCAATCATTGCCTGGCGGCTTGGGCCGCATGGGGCAAACCAAAAATATTAAAAACTGATAATGGACCAGCCTATATAGGCAAAGCCTTCAATGAGTTCTGCAAAATGATGGAGGTTCAATTAAAACATGGTATCCCATACAATCCCCAAGGTCAAGAAATCATTGAGAGGGCTCATAAAAGCCTCAAAAAAATTTTACAAAAACAAAAAGGGGGAGTAGGCCAAGGCCTGGCCCCAAAGGCACGATTATCCATGGCACTATTCACACACAATTTTTTAAATTTAAATAATGATAATTGCTCCCCAGCCGTGGAGCACTGCAACCCTTCCCCCAACCATAAAGGGTGGGTTAAATGGAAAGATGTCCTAACAGGACAATGGATGGGCCCGGATCCAGTGGTCAGCTGGAACCGAGGCGCGGTTTGTGTTTTCCCACAGGAATCGGGACGAGAACCACTGTGGGTACCGGAGAGACTGACACGGGCGACAAAGCCCTCGACTGAAGATCAGACCTGCCCTACCGGAGATCCATCACAGACCAACCAACAAGATGAATAGAAATAGCGGTAGCCCGAAATGGACAAGAAGATCCTCAGGCATATGCATGGCTCGCTCGCCTAGCCTACGACCGAGTCTAGGGGTGGTGAGCTTCCCACACTCCTCCTCTAAAAAATTATGACATAGCTGGGTAGGAGAGTCAATGACGGGTAAGAGCGTACTCCCCCGGTGCGACTCAACCTAAGCCAGGCCCTACCCCATCCTGCACGTAAGCCGCTGGACTGTTAGATGCTGCCCAGGTCTAAATTTCTCTCCGAGGGGATTTCTTTACGGAGAGGAAATGAGTGCAAGCTTGTGTGCATCCAGGTTCCGTCCAGTTTGTGCCTGGCCCTAGAAAAAGGACGAGGGCCTCAGGGCCTTGGCAGACCATGGCACGGCCGACCAGGGTCTAAGCCAAGGACCTACGGTGGGCCTACGCATAGGGCATAAGCCTCTGCACCCAGTCCAGAAAGGGCTACGATGCGCACATTCATAAAAAATAAAAAAGGGGGAGATGTTGGGAGCCGCAGCCCCGAGCCCGGTCGCCTCACTTGGCGGACGTGAGGCCTGTAGTAAAGAGTAAAGCCTGAGGTAGATTACCCCTCCCATCGAGCACGTTAGTTTCCTGCTTACCGCGTAAGCAACCCGCTCAACAATATAGTCTGCCTGGCAACTGATGATGTTAGCCAATCAGCTTGCCTTGCTCACTTTAACATGATTGGACACTGTATCCGTATATATACTGGTGCCACCCCTGGGGGGGGAAGAAGAAGCCCGGAAGTAGAAGCCCAGAAGGAGCCGCGGGGAGCGGACCAAAGGAGGCTTCGGCTGGGAGCGATCCCAGGGCAGGCTGTACGGAGAAGAAAAATAAAAGAAAAGGTTGTCCACTGCCAGACTTTGTCGTGTGTCCTTCCTGCCGGCCGGGAGCGACATCCACAGATCTAAGTTCACTATAGTATGAGAAATGTGGGTCTAGATTCTTTCTCTGCCTGTGAATAACTAATTTTCCCAGCACCATTTGTAAAACAGGCTAACTTTAGCATTTTTTTCTAGCTCCTTTTGTTAAAGATCGGATAGCTAAAATTGTGTGGGGCTGTTTCTGTGTCTTTGAGTCTATTTCATTAACCTATGTATCTACTTTTGTGCCAGTACCATGCTGCTTTTTATTAGTAGAGCTTTGTAGTATAACTTCAAATTCTATTCCATATGTGTCCTGCTTTTGTCTTTTTCTCAGGATGGTTTGACAAATCTAAACTTTTAGTTCCTTATAAAATTTGGATTGTTTCTTTATTTCTCTGAGAGTCATTATAGAGTTCCATCCTGGCTGGAGGTTCCCTAAACCTTGGGATTCCTGGAGCTCTGCAGACCCTAAGACCACCACGTGATACGGTAGAAAATAGTTTATTTGGTGAGCTCAAGAGTAAGGCTGCTAGCTACGGAAAGGGCCATGTTGATGGGAATTAAAATCAGACAGTGCAGTAGGACTTTAGGCCAAGAATGAACTTCCTCAGCAGCATGGAATGCAGCCCTTTCCTTTCTAAAAGGAGGTGCAGCCACACCCTACTAAGTCCCTGAGGTTCAAGGAATTATAATGCAAATTAACCAATGTGTTTTCTAAGATACCTCAGTTTTCCATAACCCTACACGTAGAAGAACTTGCTCAGAAGCCTGAATTCCAAGTGGTCATTTTAAATCCACAGAGGCAGCTGTGATAGGCGGCCACTGAACAGTAAGCAATCCTTGTGCTCTGTTTACTTGCAATTAGTACTGGATTGAGGACTCATAGCCACCCATTCCAGACCCCTCTTGGAATCCGGGAGCTATTCTTCCTCTTCTTATTTCCAATAAAAACTATCCTAATCTCTTCCTTTAGTTCATAACTACATTCTTTTCAGTTTGTGGGACCACAAGCTTGGTACAGACGGTAACATCACCATTTCTGAACAGCTTATGTTTTAAAGATTTTCACAGGTATTCAAAAAACAGATGTTAATGAAATAGAAATAAAAGAACATACAGTGTTAAGCAGGTAGTCAGACACTGGCCCGCCAGAGGGACAAAGGAGTCCAAAAGTGTGTATTCTGCCAGTTACAGTTAAGTAAGTTAAGTAAGCAGAAACTTCAGTGTACAGTACACTCATTATAGTCAGTTTTGGGTCTCAGACCCACAGACACAGGCTCTATTTCTCAAACGAGGCCTAGAGCACTCTGGACTGCATAGCATGTAGCCAGTGATATCAGAAGAAGAAATGTTCCCTAATTATTTCCCCCACTGAGGTAGGAGATTAGGGCTTGGGCAAACCAGACAGCTAACTGGAATGTGTCAAAGGTCATGAAAACCTATAGCTAGCAGATCATGGGGACTGTTCCTTAAGAGAAGAAAACATACAAACCCAAGACCCAAAATTATGTCAAACTTATGATAGTGAACACTGTGGAGCAGTCAGGAAAGTGCCATTTCAGTTCCTTTGCTTGAATCTGTGCTGTCTCCAGGACCATCACAGGGGCCACAGGGGCACATGCGTGTGGGCACAACTAATCAAAAGGCTCTGATTTTGATCCCTAGTTTGCATCTGGTGGGAGGCCTATTTTCAATAAGATTATTTTCAACAGCACAGTACACATCTGGTGTGAGGCCAAGTGACGTTTTGACAGGACAAATTCCAATGGCTACTTACATAAGATGAACAGCAGTCCAGGTATTTTGGATACAAAGGACTGATGTCGCTCTACCTTTGGAGCTGCTAGGAGCCTTTTTGCTGGATTGCCCTCTCTTGCACTTGTCTTCCCCTTCAATAAATGTACAATCTCACTGACTGTTGCTGTGTTCTATTCTTTGAGAAGCCAAGGACGTGAGAAGAAGCCCAGCGTGACCTTCTTCCACCCAGTAACACCACCTTGGGCTGAGAAGTGGCTTAGATGAAAAACATAGTTTTTGTAAACTTCTTTCATATATTTCTAACATGATTATGGTCTCTGACAGAATACTGATCATGTCATCTATAAAAGGCAGGAAGACATTTTTCAATGCCAAAATAGAATCCAGGTAAAGTATAATTAAGCATCATAATCACTGCAATCCTCTGAACCCCTGGAGTAACTCCTGTGTTCATGAAGAGATATCAAGACTTCTACTCACGGCAGATGCTTTTGTGGTACTGCCTGGCTTCTTACTTAATGGTGCAACTCTATGTCTACTTCACAGTAAGTTCTTCCTGTACGTCTGAATGGCACCATGTTTGTAATCAAACAGTTTTAACTACTACATGTTTATGGTACACAATGATTACATCAATTGTGGGGAAGTGGTACACTTAATAACACATGTTAAATCTTTTTAAGTCCCCCTCTTCCTCCTTCCTACTCTTGGTGCTCTTTCTATTTGCAAAAGATCAACTTCCCTCTTTCCTACTATCTATGCTTTCATCAAGGACACAAAAGGACAAAAGAGGTTCTTCTGATTTCTGATGCAGCAGGACCTAGCTTCCTGGTGACAGAATAAAAAACTATGATTGCCTAAATGCATGTATGTACTGAAAACTTTAAAAACTGTTATATTTATGAGCCAATTAAATTTTAATTTTGTGTCAACAGAATTCTGCCTTCTTTTATCTTTGAGCCTCCCATTTGAAAATTACATTCAATTTAGATTTTGATAGCCAATAGTTTAAAACATTGCAAATACCAGTCAAGTAATTAACTATATTGAGTTTTTAAATAATTGCATTTTACAGACTTGCGAGTGAAAGTGAGTTGAAGGAGCAGTAAGTAAGTAGAGGAGTAGGCCTCCTCTCCTGGAGGCATGTCCTCCCAACAGTGATGGTCTGTGCTTGCCAAGGGATTGTACTGGTGGGAAAAAGGGCTGGTGACACTGGCGGTAAAAAGAATTTTATCAGTAGTCAAGGAACATAGAAACAGGAGTTTCTTTAGATGAGGGTGCACTGTCAAGGGTGATACTGGGCATGTTTCAAGAGATGAATCATACAGTCAGTGTGAGATATTAGGGATAGGGACACGGGAAAAGTTCCAGGCAGCAAATATGATTATTGGAAAAATGCATTTCCCTTGATCGTCATTTAGCACCTTGTAGATCGTCCAGGAGCACTTGTGTTGTTCAAAGTTGAAACTTTGAAAAGAGTACTTCCTCCAGTTTACAAATGACCTTTAGCTTTAAATAACAAGATGATAAGGAGGCCTATGCATATTGTATTAGTTACTTTTGTTCTTGCTGAGACAAAATATCTGACACCCAAAGTTAAAGGAAGGACGATTTATTTTAGCTCATAGTTTGTAGAGGTTTCAGTTCATAATCGGCTGGCTCCAAGGCAGGGTGACCTGGCAGAAGGGCATCGCAAAAGAGAACCAGTCATGGCAAAGCAATGCAGGCAGACAGAAGTAAGAAAGTGAGGCACAAGTGGCCAGCAGTAAGCAGCAGCTAATGTTTTATCCAGCACTCATACTCCTAACTCAGCATCACACTGTGAATCAATCCCAGCATCATATCCTTGATCACAATACCACACACCCTATATCCAATCACCTCCAAAAAGCCATACTTATGACCTGGATATAGGCCATAACATGTATCTTTTAGAGAAGATGGGTATCTTTTAGAGAAGACTAATTAGGAGGAAAGAAAGGGCCTTAGATAGCAATGTTCATTTTTGCAATTGTTGCCATCGTGTGACTGCCTACAGAGAGCAGGATGGCTTTAACCTGAGTCAGTGTTAAGGGTTTTCATAGTTTATTGTAAGTGGATGGCTACCATATTCTGCGCAGCAACACAGTTTTGTCTTGGTCTTTTTTCTTTTCATCAAATTCAGTTTTTGATAGTCTCTTGTTTTATTTTAAGACAGGGTCTTGCTATGTAGTTCAGGCTGCCCTTGGCCTTCTTATGTATTCCACCTAAAACTTTCCAATTCTTCTGCCTCAGCCTGCTGAGATCTGGGATGGTAGGATCGTGCCACCACTCAGCTTTGTTGTTGCCTTTGTATCTGAGGTACTGGGAATGGAAAGCAGGAACTCTTTCATACTAGGGAAGTGTTCAACTCCAGGCATAGCACTGATATTCCAGCTCATGTTTGCGAGGGCGATGAAGTACCAGGTTCCTGGTCAATTTATTGATCAAGGCTGTATCATCCATTCCAGAGGTTTTTTTCTCTCCCATGACTTTTTTCTATTTATTAGTTCATGTAAATAACTTAGGATATTTGCTTGTGGTTATTTTTCCAAACAGTAAAGTGATTAATCAGTGGGAACCCAGGCAAAGGCCAGCTTAGAAATTGCCTAACTTCCAGGAATGCTGCGACTGGCAGGAAACAGCTCCTAGCTCTGGTTTATTTTTCCAAAGTCCTTTATACAAGCTTGGATTCTGATTGGGACTCAGGTTTGTCAGTGATCTGCTTTAGATAAGTGGTGCTTGCCCCCAGGAGATGGGGGAGATCTCCCTTGGGCCTCTGTAGGCTAAACTTTCCCCTGCCTTGCCTTGCTGTCTGCATCTGAGACACTTTTCCCTTTTGATATGGAGATGCTGTCATCTCCCCAGCAAGATGCTAATTGCCACAGGAGAAAAGGAGGCAGGTGCCAGGCTGCCTGCCTGCAGCCTGGGCTCTTCCCTCTCCTGTCTTCCTTTCCTTACTTGTGGAGCATATTTAGGTCACTGCTCTTGTCAGACCTAGAGCAAAGCATTCGCCCACGTGCTCAAGTCCCCTCTTCCAGGGACCCAGAGACCTGACAGTGCATGTGTGGAAGATGTGAGGCATTTCTACATCACTGAGGCCTGCTAGGGTGTGCATGGGGTTCTGGCTGCTCCTTGAAATGTTATTTCCTGGGAGGAGCCACATGTTTAAGGTCAGTGTGTACTCTTATGGCATCAAATTTGGACTCAGCGCTGGACAGAACCAGCATGCAATATTCACACACATCTCAGCTGCGGAGTTTGGGGTGAGGCTCAGGAAGCAAGAAAGGTCCCTTCACTAACAGTTATGTAAGTATTCATCTAATTTCAGGTAATAATAGATTAAATAATTCTATTGCTTACAGCATAGAAAACAAGAAGAAATGCCCAAGTCCAGATGATGTGGAGAAAATAATACCCAACCTGTCAGATCCGCTGAGTTCACGGCCTTACAACATCAAAGGAGGTGGGAGGAAGGAGGAGGAAAGAGAAAGTTAGAGCTTTACTGGAAATAAAAAGAACAGCTCCCAGATCTCCAGGGAAGATTATGTGTAGGTGGCCACTGAGGCTCTTTGTCAAGAGTACTTTATACAGCAAAATCACATTGTGTATACCGCATGGGCCAGACTACAACCAACCTGTACAATTCCAAGCATGTCCTCTTAGGTAGTAATAGGGGAACAAATCACACAGCAAGGGCATACTGAAAGAACGAAAGTATGCCTTGAAAGGAAAGGGAGTACAAAGCCAGATGTTCTGGTCAATCGCTTATATATATGATACCTATCTGGGTTCACTGGATCAGGTGTTTTTATTTACAATTTAATCTCAAGTCACTGTTTATCACTAGGGAGGCTTTCAGACCGAGCTATTGCTAGCTGCCGCAGCTCTGTCTTGAGGCTGGCCCTCTTCAGTGTTGTCTCCAGCCACAGTGTTGCTATGTCTTGTTCTTCTGCACTGATTTGCTCGAGGGCTCAATCACTCTCTTCACTGCCTATTAATTTCTATCTAGTTTAGCTGACTATAATCTGGCTCTTCCAGGAGGGATGCTGTAGCTCTTACACTATGTGGAATCAGTTTAGTCTTCGCAGCCTCAGGAGGGCATTTCTGTCCACTTCTGTCTTCCCCTTCATGGATGGATAAAGCCTTGCAGGATGATGCAGGGCGGCAGGAGAGCACTCCACATGCCGCACGCGCTTTGTTCATTGGCTTGTGAGGCCAGGTCTTGCAGGTCTGGAAAAGAACCCAAAGAATGTATAAAAGACATTGTTGCAGGCTTGGCTTAAGTAGATAAAACAAAAAATGTTTGCATGGGTACTCATAAAGGCCCTCTTCTCCTTGGCCTCCTCATTAGACTCTGCCCCTCAAGCCCCACCTCAAGGATAACGGGGTGGAAAGACAGGGCCTGAGCACAGCATCTCCCTGCATGGGGACCTCACAGCTATACCTCAAGCGAGACCAAGCCCTCTGGGAGCCCAGCACAAGAAAGGTATGCCTTCCTGTCTTCCTCTACCTCCTACTTTTTAAGTTTATATTAGAACTTTGCAGTGCATAATGATTACATTAATTGTGGGAATTAGGCACACATACATAACACACATATTTTTATTCTGTTTACTTCTTGTAGAGCACTTACTTAACATGCAAGAGGTCAGGGTTCCACTCTCAGTGTTGAAGAAAAAAGAGAAACAAAGGCAGGAAATAAAAGTCATTTATTTGCAGCCAGAAATGCCTGGATTTTTGTGGAATATGGAGGATATAGAGAAAAGGACTGTATTGGTTTTCACAGACTAACACAGAAATAGTCTTTTAGCTTTTTAGCACAACAGCAGACCAAGGTAGCCTTTAAGTGTTCTCACCCCTAGCACACCAGGAAATAAAAGAACTTGCAGCCACCTTGACACAGGATAGAAAAAAAGCTAAGTAGAAAGGAGACAAGGAAATCCAGATTTTAACATGTACTTTTACGAAAACCCATAGCTTCAAGACACAAATGTTATTCAAGCCTTTTCCCCTCTCAGGAAACTCATTCAGAAAAATATTCCTAGAGATCCTTTTACAATAAGCCTGTAAATCCTACCTCAATCTGGTACAATGTTGGTTCAACTTTCCCCCACATTATTTCTAACAATAATTCTTTGACTAGGAAGACCTTACTAAACAAGTGGTAACAACCAGCCTTAAATCCATGATCATTCACTACAGGATATCAACAGTGTTGCATCTGGCTGTCCCTTACTTTGAGATATGATGCTGTCTTTATCCAAAATGGTTCCCAAGCATTTTAAAAATAGCATTATCCATCAGTGAACAAAAATGTGACCATGTTCCCCATTCAGCAATGATACAGTTAAACATGTACACACTTGGTTCCATGTACAGGTGCTTTTACTGGTGTACACAAGACTAACAGACCTAAAGTGGTGGAATAAAACCCAACACCAGAATACAATCTCACCACGATCTGGAATCGAGAACCTGGGTCACAATAACTTGGTGAAGAAAAAAGAAGGCAATCTTTGGTAATCAGATGGGAGCTGACAGGAAAAGTAGAAAGCACACTGAAACGGACTATAATGAAGAGAAAAGAATACAGCAGGATGAAAAACTCATCCTGGCTCTGGGGGAGAGGGACCCTGCCCCGCAGGAAAGGCAGGGCAGGATTTAGCATTCACACACAAAATCGTTAAGTGTGGAAACACAGTAGCTCTAACAGTGATTCACTATCCCCCTCCACATCTGGTGGATTCCAAAAGTACAGCCCCTGGTTAGGATAAAAACATGTGGAGGAATAACTTTGGATCTATTTCTCTTTTTCCTTCTTGGTTTTGTGGGAATTTGAAGGAGCTTTCTTCTCTATTTTCTGCTTATTTTCTTCATTTTGTTCTTTGTTTTTTTCCTTTTTTTTCTGTTAGTTTTATTTATTTCTAATAATTTTCTTTTACTCCTTTATGTTGTGGTTTGTGTTTGCATGCCTTATCCCCCCAGTCCTCATGTCATCATGTAAGTGGCTGGAATCTAGCATTTATGATTGTTCATTATCATACCTGATTGGCAATTTAAAGAGTGTTGCACAATGCAGGGGCAGAGACCTGATGTACAGTATAGAGGAGGGAAGGAGATGTGCTCTCCCCCATCTTCTGCCCTGTTTGCTCTTCCTGTTTGTGGTCACCACAAACGGTTGCCCTGGAGGCATGCTACCCTGCCTTGAAGCCAGTTGAGTATGGACTGAAACATCCCAAACACCCGTAAGCTACATAAACCTTTCCTTCTTCCACTTTGGGCATCAGGCATTTTGTTTCAACAATGAGAAAAAAGCAACCAAAACACAACTTGGTAAAAGAGGAGTTGGGGTCATTGCTGTGGTTATACCTGATCACGTGGTAAACCAGAGTGTTTTGGAATGGTTTGTGGGAAGAGGTTAGAAAGGTTTAGAGGTGTTGCCTGAATGCATAGAGTTGGAACAACTTGGCCTGTTCTGCATGGAAGATTCTGGTCACAGCTCAGGAGACCACAAAGCTGATAGAAAGCCTGCTGGTAAAGAACAGGTTTGGAAGCTTCCTGCTGGGAAGGACCACATTGGTTGTTGGACTGCAGACAATGTGTGTTATTGCTTGGCAGAAAGTTTGTCTGCATTTTGCTTGTTTCCAGAGACTTTGCCAGAGACTGAGACTAAGGGCAGTGGACTGGTAAATCTGGCAGAAGAAACTTCAAGGCAGTTGAATATTGGGGCAGTGTCAGGACTATTGTTGGGGGATTTTAGCCATATCTATGCTGTGAATCAAGAGTAAAGAGCCCAGCAGGATGATTTAAAATGTGAGTTTGATGAGAAAGGAAGCTCCATTAAAGCTGTGGACTACAAACATGGGGCTGAAGAGATCGTGATTGCTGAGAAGCAACATGAAAATAGAAAAGATGGCCTGGAGGTATCATGGGAAGTGGCAGAGGGTCTCTACCCTTTTCAGCCTCCAAACCGCAAAAGTGGAAGATTCTGCTTGGTGGAGAAAATCTCCAGCACCATGTTCCAAAATGGTGGCAGCCGAGTTCCGGGAGAACATGGTGGACAGATAACAGCAGCTACGGAGGCTCTCTGAAAGACTTGGCTCAGAAGTCAGGAATGGTGCTGAGTAAGGACACATAAGCCGGTGGAGATATGCTCTGCTGACCCAGGAACAAACTGGGCTGAGAGAATCCAACTTGGAACGCAGTCCTGGTGCTAGAACAGGAACAGAAAAGCCTCAGTGTGGAGGCTGGAGCCCACCCCATTGGAAGCCGCGATTTGGGTTTCCCACCGCTCGGCGGCTGCCTCTACATCGGCTCGGCAAGGAGAGAGATGCGCGGAAGCTCTGAGAACGGGAATCTGTGAACCGAGTCGAAAACAGGACGGGCAGGGAGGCGTGCACTGACTTGTGGTGAGGTAAGTGAGAGAAACTGACACTCTACCACAATTTGACTCCAGCGGAGGACATTCTGGGACTGGGCAGACTTGCGGGAGCAAGGCGCTGTGGCAACTTCAGCCACGTATCACCCTCTCAAGCGGGATTGGTGAGAAGTGCCTTGCCACGTGACGCTGCTGGCGGACCCAGTAGGCTAGCACAACCCAGATCCCAGAGCGTGAGGGTGGCCTGGAGGGGCGGGCCCCGCGTAGGCTGCCTGGTCTGAAACTTCCTGGTGTGCTGTGGAGGGTGGGAACACCTAACCGGCGCAATTCGATCAGGCTGTGGCTGACAGGGAGGGAAGCTGGGCCCCCTATGTAAGCTTGCATATATGAGGAACAAAGAATATGGGAAGAGGCAGCAACAAGAAAGGCTCCTCGGCCCCCAATCCTGAGAAACAGGTAATGGCGGACACCGCACCAATAGACATAAAGCGCCATCTAGAGAGCCTCATAGATCAGTTCGGGAATGAAGTTATCAATGACCTGAAGCTAGAAGTAAGCAGAATAGTTAGAGAAATGCTAAGCACCGCCCAAGAAAAAACAGATGGTGGAATGGAAGAACACAAAAAGAGGGGAGAATTGTTTGATGGAGAAAATGGAGAAAGCATAGAATACGTGAAGCAGGTTCAAAGGGACTACCAGGAAACTAAAAAGTCTATCGAAAACTGGCATAACAGCTTGAAAGAAACTAAGGATAAGTGACTATCTGAACTGGAGGGCAGATTTGTAATATGGGAGAATGAAATGAAAGACTTCTTAAAAATAACAAAGAAACAAACAGCAATAATACAAAGACAAGAAGATGATAAGAGGATCCATAACTTAAGAATTAAGAACATAAAAGAAGAAGTAGGGACACAAACAAATGAACTACAAAAGCTACTCACAGAAATAATCCAGGAGAATTTTCCTAATTTAGCAAAGGTAAAGATACGCAGATGTATGAGGCATACAGGACCCCAGCCACCTACAACCCAAACAGAGCTATACCCAGGCATATAATAATAAAAATTCCAGAAATTCAATACAAGAACAGAATATTAAAAGCTGTCAGAGACAAGAAACAGACCACTTACAGGGAACACCCATCAGAATTACAGCAAATTTCTCTGCACAAACCATCAAATCACGAAGAGCATGGGGGGAAATAATTCAAGCTTTGAAAGATAATAATCTCCAGCCAAGATTTAGATATCCTGCACAACTGTCCCTGGAAATTGATGGAAAAACAAGGTGCTTCCAGGATAAAGAGGAACTGGGGGAGTTTGCAACCACCAATTCAACTCTACAGAGAATATTGCAGGATATTCTAAAAAAAGAAAAATACAAAGAATCCAGAAATAGTGGCGGGGAGGGCACAACGAATGGAGCAGAGAACAAAATGAAGAAGACAAACTGACAGCTAATGACAGAAAAAGAGCTCAACAGAAATGAGGCAGAGAAGATTGGATGATAGGAACAGCTATTTTGGAGAAAATGACGTCTTAATAGGTAATACTGATTTAGTATCATCTTGTTTTGAAGTCTCATCAAGCTTTTGTTCTTCTGTCTCCATTGGTCTAAACAGGTTGTATCTTTTTGGATTTTATTATGTACGATAGTATAAGCAAAATGTTTTAAAGATAAGGAGGTTATACAGAATCCATTGTTCATTTTCTGTTAGTTTATTGTAAATACCCCGTAATGCTGTCATTCTCTTAAATGGTTTTACATTGTTTTGATAAATTTAATGCTACAGTATACAAAGTTGTACTCAAGGATTTCAAGGAAAGAGACAATATGGTAACTACTTTTA